CTGCTGAAGTTAAAGTGGAACCCTGGCTGACGGGTTCCCTGATAGATGTGAGAAATGAAGACCATTCCTGTAACCCCCTCATTCCTGGCCTCTTGGAGGTGGGAACTATGGTTCAGGACCTGGTGATGTGGTCAGGACTCCCCCATAAAGAGGGAGAAGGGGAGCTGACTATTTGTTTACCTAAATTAGCAAAGTATCATTATCTCTTTACTTCCAGTAAAGAGATAATGTTTACTAGTACAGGCGTATTAATATTCTCTAGTTAATGTTAATAAACCTGTACTAATACAGGTTTATTAACATGCAGTACAGGTTTATTAACATTCTCTAGTACCAGTTGATTAACATTCTCTTCTTTATTGACCTATTTTGGCAAAGCAATATAAAACATTATACATGAGGGACTTCATCTTGCTTTTCTTCTTTCTTACAAAACAAGTCTAGCTGCAAAAACGTACTGTAACTAAAGCAACCATTTCTGGCCATCTTTCCCTATATTCTAATAAGTACTGGGACCACACTACATTACAAATACAAATCATTTTGTTCTTTTTCATGGATTCTTAGTTGAAGAATTCCCAATTTTGTAGTACACAGCCCAATAGGCTGCTTAGAAGGATCAACTTATCATTTCCCTAGCAGCCAAGACAAAATTATAGATGTAACAAAAACACAATGCCAGTCACTCTTCTCAGTATCTGAGTTTTAACACAGAAAAAGAGACAAATTGGTTCCCTGCAAGTCAGGACTGTTGAGCATCTGCTAGTGACTCCAGGGCTACACACTCACAAATGGAACAAGAACAATCATGTAGCCTTACAAGCCAGAATTCTGAAACCAGATTTCAGAACTGAGACCCAAAGCGTCCAGAAGTACTTCCTCCAAATAGTGCTCTTTATTGTCTTTCAAGTTGAAGAAAATCTCCTTAAATAAGGTTTTTCCTTTAGGTTAGGAAGGGTCAGCAGGACCTTCTAACAGGTTACAGGACCTCTGAAAAGGTCAACAGATCAGGAGAAGGGAAAAGTGGTGTACATTGCACTTGGGAGTACTCATCAGATTCAGAAGACATCTTTCAGACTCAGAAACCATTTCTCTACTGCTAGGAAGCTTATGTGCCAAATGTTGAAAACACCCCATTGGAAAGGAAGGCTCCAGAGATCACCCCTGGCTTAAATGACTCAGGCAGCTACTTGAGATTATCTCTGGGCCCTTCAAAATGGAAGGGACACTAGCCATGGACAAATGCTCACAAGGGGCACCTCTTAGTAGGATCACCACTAAGGTATAACTGTAATAGGCTTATTACCTGGTGCACACAGCAGGTGAATACACTGAGACACTGGGTTGGAGCAGAGAAAGAGAATTAATTGTAGGTCACTGAACAAGGAGATAGGAAGAATCCTCAAATTCATCTCCTAAAGGAATTCGAGGTTAAGGTTTCTAAGGATCTTGGAATGGGCTGAAGTGTGGAGATCATTGATTGGTCTAAGACTGCATGATGAAGTCATGGGACAGAGAGATGAAGAAGCTGTATTCTCTTTCTGATCTTATTCCTCTGTAAGGGTCTTCAAACTGGCTAGTGGAATTCTGGTCCTGAAAATCATCTTAAGCAATCCCTTAATCAAAACCTTTTGAATCCAATGTCAGAGATCCCATCTATAGGAACAATGAAAATGCAAATCAAGTCTTACACAGTATTAGGACCCTAACTTGCAGTGGTACAATCTTGACTCATTGAAACTCTGCATTCTGGGTTCAACCCAGCAGGCAATTCTTGTTAATCTTGTGGGAAAAGTATCAATGGCACATACTAGCATGAATAGGACTGAAATGGAAATGTTACCAGTGAAAAAACAGATTTAATTCACCTGGTGAGTAACAAATGGCTGTCCATGAGAACACAAGTTTTCATCAATAGGAATGTTAAGCAGGAGGACAGTGAGAGTATTCTCCAAAGCAGTGCCTTCCTGAGGGCAAGAGACAAGAAGTTGTATGGGATAATGGACTGGGGAGAGAATATTTCATCACATGTAGATAAGGGAGGGTAGGGGTCCCAGTTATACAGATGTAGTGAGTCATCACACCAGTACATAAGTTGCATGTTATGGTAATGGAACTGTAGCTCCTTTTGGGTGGATATTTTAGCAATGTAATAAAGAAAATTCACTAGTGTCCATCTGTAAGTTGCCAGAGTCTGTCAGAAACTGGTTCCAACCAACAAGGTGATTGTATTCCACACAGGGGAAAAATAGACTTTGGGGAGGATGCTGTGCAATGGGCTGATTGTTCAATTTGATTAAGTTCCTATAATTCCTAAAGACCCTCTCTTCACTGACAGAAATATCACAGGTTTAGGGCTATAGATTAGAGCTCAACAGACAGCTGAAAACTTAAGAAGACTATGCTACTAGCCAAGAAATCATCATATTCCATTAGATTCTCTACTGGGGGCAAGCAAGATTAATGAGTTAATAAGCAAGGCTGGGAAGGCTATAACATGGCAAGAATAGAAAATCAAGCATACCATTACACTATCTGGCCTTGGGAAGGTCCACCTTATTCCCACTAATAGATTAAAATTTATATCAGACCACATAATATTCAGGCCCCTCTGTCACCTCACTCCTCATTGTCATTTTTCAAAATCAGCAGATAAAATTGGAAACAATTCCAGTAGTTGTTTCTGCTGCTGTTTTGAGACAGGGTTTTGCTCTGACACCCAGGTTGGAGTGCATTGGTATGATCACATCTTACTGTGGCCTCAAACTCCTGGACTCAGGTGATCTTCCTATCTCAACCAAGTAGCTGGGACTACAGGCATGTGCCACCAAACCCAGCTAATTTTTTAAAAAGTTGTTTAAAGGTGAGGTCTCACTATGTTGCACAGGCTGGTATTGAACTCCTGAGCTCAAGGGATCCTCCCACCTCAGCCTCCCAAAGTGCTGGGGTTACCCCTAGTCGTCACACCTGGCCTAATTCCAGTTCTTTCTGTGACTGAAACCCTGGCTATCATTACTGGGTGCCAGGGGAAGAGTGATACTAATACTTTATTTTTCTTCATTCAGTTTTTTTTCATAGGAATTCAACCATAATTTACATGGTAAAAGTCTTCATAAACATTTTTTTTTCAAATTAAGCCAGATTTTCTGTAGTCCCATATTTAAGAATTTAAGAATTTGGTAAAAAAAATAAATAAATAAAAATAAAAAATAAAAACACAGTTTCCTACTACTCATTTATAAATACTCAAATGAAAAATAAATATAAATGTACACAAGGTCCATGAGCTCTACATAAGCCAAGGAACCTGAATCTGTAGCCAAAGATATTTCAGTTAAATGCCTGAGTGGTTAAGATCAGCAGTTAATTTATAAAGCCATCAATTATCTTAACAAAGACTATTTCGGATTGAATTTACCAAACCTTACAATCAGTTTCATCAAGTAGCAATGTAGTGAAGAATGTCATTTTAGGGAGAGAAACAAGGAAAGAAAGAATTCCTTAAGCCACTTTGACTGTGGTAAGAGTGTCAAAGTCTCCATTTTTAGCAAAACTTAACAATAACTCCTATTTATTAAGCCCTTACTCTATGCCTAACAGTCTACAGAGAACTCTACATACAGTGTTTCATGGATTTCTTGTAACTGCCCTCTCAGATACTACCTCTGCTTTAAAGATTAAAAGAGAAAGGTTCAAGCTGGTTAAGTGATTCCAAGTTATTCACTCAAGGCCACTGAGCCACTCAGAGCAGCATTGTCACTTCTATGAGGCCTAGGCACTTTTGTTTTGTGGGCCCATTGCTTCATTAAAAAACAAAAATTATGTCTTGTAACTGCCTAAGTATGAAGACAATTATAACTCAGGCTGGATTTACTATTACATATTCATTATTACTATATTCAATTATTTTTTCTTGAATTCAAAAGAAATTAAAATTAAAATATTTTGTGAGACCCCACCAAAAATCATGCCTACTATGCCTAATAAATAAGTTGACCTTGCAGAGACAGGATTCAAACTTGGGCTGATGGAATGAATCCAACAGCTACGTCCTTCTGTGCATTCCCCTCATCTCTGCCACCATCAAATCATGAACCATACGTTTTTCCCACTTCTCCCAAAATGACTTTTAAAATACTAATAGCATAATCTGTCAAGCCTAAATTCTATGAGTTTGTAGAACTTAAATTTCTTTCCTTCCAAGATATAACACTCCAGAATTAATCCAGGAATTGGAAAAAAAAAAAAAAGTCACAGTATTTGCAACGCTGCAAAGGGAAAGGAAATGTTTTCTTCGCAGTCATTTGAACTCTTAAAGCCATAAAGAACAAAGATGCCTAACATATCTTTATCATTCATTTCTGCATTATTGAACCAAAACTGCCTGCAGGTGCATGTGGCTATTTAAAGGAAATTGTAAATCGCTTTCATATCTTACTAATGTAGTGAGGATGTATAAATAGTTGCACATGGCAGATAATTAGTTTATGACAACACATTATTGTGCTTACAAGCATCTGGATATCAACTACTTGGCAAAAGAGCCAAAGAAAGTTATTGCTAACAAAATACTACGAAGTCATTTCCAAAGAGCTGAGTGGTGAATATTTAAATGACAAAAAGAATATGTTAAACTTATGCGAAGAGATAAGATTTGAGTTAAAGAGTTTCAGAGAAAAAGTAACCATGACAAACAAATAATGGTATACTTAATATTAATGCTTCCCGGGACTTGTTTTGTTTCCCTTTTATTATTTTCTTATCCAATAATAGCAGAGAACAAATGCATAGATATGCAGATACGTATGTAGATTATATAATTATATGGCTATAGTATGTAAATTATATAGATTACAAAAAAGAAAACATCAGCAAAAATCCTCATCAGTGTTCATTTCTAGAAAAAAATATATTTATATAATTTTTAAAGGGTGTGGCATATTATATACTTAAATTCAAAAATATATTCTAAAATATATGTGCATTATTTCTTTTGACAGGTACACTGAACTTTGTCCATCTACACGGAAGACTGAATTTCCTATAGCCCTCATACACTGGCTATTTTTTCTCTTGTATCCATCCCGTGTACCGCTTGGATGTTGTGGATGTTGGAGGAAAAGTGGATAGGTCTCTTACCTGTTGCCCGTTGTGGCATTCAGACCATTGTCCTTTCCTCCTACCTCATTATCTCATCTTTTTTGAAGTTAATTTCTTGAGTACATCACCTCTTATCCCTTCTTCTTGTTCCCATTTTCTATCTTTTTACTCTTTTATTCTGGTACTTCAGTTCCCATAATTCCACAAATATGTGAGGCCCTATTAACCATGAGTATCATTGCCCATGCTCTTGTCTTTTTTTATCTAATCTAGATTCCAATCACCATAATCATTCCCTGAAGAGACCCATTCTCCCTTACTCCTCTCTTACTTTGTCAAACTAATTTAGGAAAACACCATTACTGTTTGAAGCTGAATGTGGCAACTTGGAAAGCAGTAGCATGTGGCTAGAAACAGGCAATATTTTACCTTAGCACTGCAGAGAATTCCTGCCACACTTCTAGGGGCAGTTTTCTCCCTCTCTCTCTGCTAGATGGTTATTTCATACCTTTACTTTCTCATCAAGCATCCACAACTTCTCCTTGCCTCACTCTGCTGATAATTTTGCTTCTTGTTCTCCAGGGAAATAAGAAGCAAAATGGATGAGAGAGAGTTTTCATATGCTCCCACTACCAAATCTAAAATCCTGTGTAATCTTCATGTTACCATGCTATAAGGATCATTTAATATTCAGTCTTCATTTAAGTCCTTAACAGTGTTTGAAATAGTTGTTCATTCTCACCTCTCTGAAATACTATCCTCACTTAACCTTCTGGACACCCCACTTTGTCTAATTATCCTGCTTCTCTAGTCATTTTTTCTTTGTCACCTTTGCTGGCTTCTTCTCATCTCCCCTACTTCTAGCCTTCAGAGTAAATAAGACTCCATCCTCAGGATGGATTCCTTCACTCTCTATGCTCACTCCTTAAGTGGCCTCATCCATTTATGGCTTTAAATACCATCTATACACTAATACTTCAGTCTATAGCTCTATTTTAAAACTATTCCTGAATTACAGACTCATATATTTAAGTACTTACATGACATTTCCAGTTGGAGGTTGTATTAGTTTGTTCTCACATGGCTATAAACAACCACTTGGGACTGACTAATTTGTAAAGAAAAGAAGTTTAATTGACTCACAGTTCTGCAGTCTTAACCAGAAGCATGATTGGGAAGCCTCAGAAAACTTAGGACAACGTGGTGAAAGGCAAGCATGCACATCTTATCATGGCGCAGCAGGAGAGAGAGGGGAGAAGAGGTGCCAAACACTTTTGAAGAATCAGATTTTGTGAAAACTCACTCACTATCAGATCCCCCAAGATCTGATCACCTATGAGCAGGCCCCTCCTCTAATTTAACATGAAATTTGGGCGGGGACACTGATCCAAACCATATTGGAGGTCTAATAAGTATAACTAATTTATCATGTTCAATATTGAAATTTTGATTTCCATCTCCCAAATCTGTTCCTCACATGTTTTTTTTTTTCATCTCCATAAAACAGCAATTTCATTCTTTATGTTGTTCAGTCCCAAATTTTAAAGTCCTTGTTTACCATCTTTTATTCTTACACTCAATATTCAATGGATCTGCAAATCCTTTGTTTCTACCTTCAAAACATATCAGAATCCTTCCCATTCTCATCGACTCCATTACAACTACTACTTCAGGCCTAAACTCCCTGACTTCGATAATGGTAGTTGCTCCTAAAGGCTCTTTCTGCATGTATTCATGTTTCCCTATAGTCTCTTCCCTGTAATCCTGCATGTCTGTATGTAAGCTGCCACTTTCATCCCAGCCACATGGGAACTGAGCTAACTTCTGACTTTGTCCTCAGGGGATAAAGAGTGGACACCATGTCTATATATATATCATTCTCACTAGTTTTATGCATTTGACTTTTTATTGCCAGTTTAACATCATTTCTAATTAGAGTAGTAGTTGTGTAAAACTAAAACCCCAAATATCATAGAGAGCTAAACAAAAAACCTAAGCCCTGCTTCTCACCCCTTAGTTGCATCACCTCAGAGGCAACAACTTTTAACCTTTTTAATCATTTTGTCTAGCAGTTACCTCCTTCTATAAAAACAACATTCACATATTGATACCCCTAGCTCATTAATTTGAAATATCCTCAGAGTCTCTGTTATTTTGGATGAGGATTTTATTCTTTTACAACTCTACCCTACTAATCTATCTCATAGGCCCTATATGGTTTTATTACTATTTTTATTTCAATGAATAAATAGTGCATACGTGATTATGGTTAGGTATATATTTTGCACTGGAGAGCCAAGCAAGTAATTCTTTTTCCATTTTCCTTTCTTTAAGTATTTTCTTTTCACCTAACATTTTAATTACCTCTCATTTTCTTGATTGTATTCTCAAAGGTTCTTTCAAACATGTATTATGTTGGAAATTCTACTGAGACAGTCTCTCATTACCTCTTTTTTTTTCTTTTCCCTAAAAATCTTTTTTTCTGGAGTCTTCATTCTACTGTTCTAAACTGGGTAATATGATCTGGGACAAAATTACTTATCTAACTTTCAGTTTTATCACCTATAACATAGACATAGGAATCTACATAGCACGCAGAATTATTACGAGGGCTAAATGAGACATCTAAAGAAATACGTTATCAACTAAAAAGTGCCAAATGTGATGGCATTATTATCATCATTAAAAATATGATTCTCATATTGAATGTCAAAGCAACCTCACAAATGCAAGGTACTAAATTCAAGACTTCAGAAAGGACAAACTCTTTCATCAATAACTCTGCCTGGCCAACCTGAATGAATATCTGGCTGGGAGGCAGCAGGAAGCATTCAAAAGAGCTTTGACTTTATAATTAAAGGACTTGGATTTCCTTTCACTGACTAATATTAGTTAAGTCAGTTGACTTTTTTACATTTCAATTTCTCTAATATGCTATGATAGCACTAGCTTTCTTTTCATTTTTAAAATTTTTTTCATTTAAATAAATTTTTAATTAAGGTAATTACAGACTCATAAGTAGTTGCAAAAATAGTACAAAGAAGTCCTATGTAACATTATTCAGGTTCTTCTTATAATATTTACATAACTATAGCACATTAGAAAAAACCCAAAGTCAGTAAACTACCAGTAACTAAACTACTGTTCCTTTTTAACATTTTAAAACCTGAGTATGATACAATAACTCATATATACACATAAAAGTGTGTACAACTTTCTGACTTTTCATAGATTGAACACACCCACATAACCAGCATTTTAACAAAAGGCAGAAAATTGCTAGCTCCCCATAATCACCTTCTGGGTTACCATTCTAACCCAACTCCTTGAGATTTCTAACAATACACATTAGTGTTGCTTTTATTGTAATTATGAAAATGAAATCATACTGCTTCACTCTCTTGTGTCTATCTCCTTTAGTTCAACACATTCGTGGGGTTCATTTTTATTAGTTTCTTTATGTCTTTTGCCTTTGTTTTTATTTTATTTCAACACATGAAAGTTTTTAAAATGTAATCAAACTTAGTCTTTCATGGATTCTGGAATTTGAAAAAGGTTTTCTTAAAATATTAATTTTTTTCCATAAGTTTTTGGAAAACAGGTGGTGTTTGGTTACATAAATAAGTTCTTTAGTGGTGATTTCTGAGATTTTGGTGCACCCATCACCTGAGCAGTATACACTGTGCCCGATGTGTAGTGTTTTATCCCTCACCTCCTCCTGCCCTTTCCCCCAAATCCCCAAAGTTCGTTGTATCGTTCATATGCCTCTGAATCCTTATAGGTCAGCTGCCACTTATGAGTGAGAACTTATATATGCTTGGCTTCCCCTTCCTGAGTTACTTCACTTAGAATAATAGTCTCCAATTCCATATGGTTTGCTTGAAATTCTGCGATTTTGTTTCTTTTTATGGCTGAGTAGTATTCCAGTACCTATAAGTATATATGGTGGTATATGTATGTGTGTGTGTGTGTTTATATACATCTATTTATCTTTGTTTTTGTACACACACACATACATATACCACACACACACACACACACACACACACACACACACACACATATATGTGTCTTATGTTTTCTTTATTCACTCTTTGATGGGCATTTGGTCTGCATCCATATTTTTTGCAATTGCAAATTGTGCTGTGATAAACATGAGCAGGCAAGTGTCTTTTTTGTATAATGACTTCTTTTCCTGTGGGTAGATAACCAGTAGTGGGATTGCTGAATCAAACTGTAGTTCTATTTTTAGTTCTTTAAGGAATTGCCACAGTTTTTCATAGTGGTTGTACTAGTTTACATTCCCACCAGCAATGTAAAAGTTTTCCCTTTTTACCACATCCCCACCAGTATCTATCATTTCTTGATTGTTTTTTTTATGGCTGTTCTCGCAGGAGTAAAGTGGTATTGCATTGTTGTTTTGATTTGCAGTTCCCTGACCATTAGTGATGTTGAGCATGTTTTCATATGTTTGTTGACCATTTGTATATCTTCTTTTGAGAATTGTCTGTTCATGTCCTTAGCCATTATTTGATGAGATTGTTTGTTTATTTTTCGAGCTAATTTGTTTGAGTTCCTTGTAGATTTTGGATATTGGTCCTTTGTCAGATGTATAGATTGTGAGGATTTTCTTTCAGTCTGTGGGTTGTCTGTTTACTCTGCTGATTGTTTCTTTTGCTGTCCTCAAGGTTTTTAGTTCAATGAAGTGCTATCTATTTATCTTTGTTTTTTGTTGCATTTGCTTTTGGGTTTTTGGTCATGATGTCTTTGCCCAAGCTAATGTCTAGAAGGGTTTTTCTGATGTTATCTTCTAAAATTTTATGGTTTCAGGTCTTAGATTTAAGTCTTTGATCTATCTTGAGTCGATTTTTGTATAAGGTGAGAGATGAAGATTTAGTTTTATTCTTCTACATGGGGCCAGTCAATTATCCCAGGATTACTTGTTGAAAGGGTGTCCTTCCCCCATTCAACAAATTTTTAAAAAAATATTTTTATTTGCTTTGTCAAAGATCAGTTGGCTGTACATACATGGCTTTGTTTCTGGGTTCTCTATTCTATCCCATTGGTCAATATGCTTATTTTTTTCATTTATTTATTTTATTGCATTTTAGGTTTTGGGGTACATGTGAAGAACATGGAAGGTTGTTGCATAGGTACACAACATGGCAGTGTGATTTGCTGCCTTCCTCCCCATCACCTACATCTGGCATCTCTCCCCTTGCTAATATGCCTATTTTTATACTAGCAGCATGCTGTATTGATGACTATGGACTTATTATAGTATAGTTTGAAATCAGATAATGTGATGCCTCAGATTTATTCTTTTTGCTTAGTAAAGGCTCCTTTTGGTTCCATATGAATTTTAAGGTTTGCTTTTTCTAGTTCTGTGAACAATGATGGTGCTATTATGATGGGATTTGCATTGACTTTGTAGATTTCTTTGGCCAGTATGGTGATTTTCACAATATTGATTCTGCCCATCCATGAGCATTGGACGTGTTTCCTTCCATTTGTTTGTGTAATCTATGATTCCTTTCAGCAGTGTTTTGTGGTTTTTCTTATAGAGGTCTTTTACTCCCTTGGCTAAGTATATTCCTAAGTATTTTATTTTTATTTTGTTTTATTGCAGCTATTGTAAAAGGGGTTGAGTTCTTGATTTGATTCTCAGCTTGGTTGCTATTGGCATATAGCAGAGCTACTGATTTGTATACATTAATTTTGTGTCCTAAAACTTTGCCGATTTTGTTTATCGGTTTTAGGAGCTTTTTGAGGAGTCATTAGGGTTTTCTAGGTGAACAATCGTTATCACCAAGAAGCAGCAATACTTTGACTCACTCATTAGAGATTTGAAGTCTCTTTATTTTTTTTTTTTTTCTTGTCTGATTGCTCTGGCTAGGACTACCAGAACTATGTTGAATAGAAGTGGTGAGAATGGGCACCCTTGTTCTATTCCAGTTCTCAGGGGAAATGCTTTCAACTTTTCCCCATCAATATTATGTTGGCTGTGGGTTTGTCATAGATGGCTTTTACTACATTGAGGTATGTCCCTTCTATGTTGATTTTGCTGAGGGTTTTAATTATAAAGGATTGCTGGATTTTCTCAAATGCTTTTTCTGCATCTTGAGATGATCACATGATTTTTGTTTTTAATTCTGTTTATGGGATGTATCACATTTATAGGCATGCATATGTTAAACTATTCCTGCCCTAGATGTTTTTAAGTAATCACAGCAACATTACCTGCTGTAATAAATCCAGTATCAATTGCTTACCCCAACAATTTATTTTGTCTTTCACACTTAACAGACTAATTGGTTGTTCTGGGCTGGTAATCAACCTTATTCTATACAATACATGGACCCAAGTTTTCCCCATATGGCAGTTCTGTTTATTTTATGCAGTAGCAAAAGGGAAATGGGAGCACAGAGAAGGACAT